TAGCATATAAAGAGTATGTTGTCAAGAACCGGAAATTGAGAATATGAAAATATATCTTTACATTCCTTTTTTTGAAAAATGAGTAATGTGAAAAATAAATATGAATTTAAGCTTCATGTGTGAAACCTGGTAAACTCATTTGATCTTAGCTTGAGACATCTGCTTGGTTCTTACTAGTGAGTAGAGAGTTTTGTTTTCTGGAGCAATATACTGTTTTTAATGATTATTATGCTTAACACTGTTATTTAGCATGGTGTTCAGAGCTTTTTTTATAGTATACTACGGTAAAAATGTATTGATCACATCAGAATGTACTAAAAGAGAAAGAACTATTAATGGCATAATAAGTAGATGCATGTTGCTTTTTTGTTCACAGTAAAGGTTGTCTAGAAATCAAAATATGATCCCATGGAGAAAATTAACTAATATCTTGACTTTCATTTCACTGTTCTTCTTGGAAATGACTTGAAAAGTAGATTCCATAAACTTGACAATGAGATATTTCAATTTTCACTCCTTTTGAAATTCTAGCACTAAATTTCTTCCATTTCAGGAAAAAAAATGTTCAAGAAGATGAAACCTTGAAGTTTGAAAACTGTTACTTCTACAGTTTGAAGAGCTTGTTGATAAATGATTTTACTTGAACACTATGAATCATAGTGCAGATCTGATTTCTTAAACTGAAGTCAAGCCTACTAGTAGAGAGAAATGTCAAGACATAACTTTTTTCTTTTGGAGTTGGAATATATTCTTATTTTTGCTGAAAATTGTGAGCAGTTGATTTAACTGGGCAAAAGGTGAGAGCTGCAGTCATAGGGAATAACATTCCTCAGTGCCTGTTTCTGTTGTCCTTGTTCCGCCCCGTTCAGTGCAGGCACCTCCACGTTGCTTGTAAAGGTTGAGAGCAGCTCGTGAGCTGCGTCCTGGCTCCCATGGGGATTGCCTTGCCTTCTGCAGGCCCTTTGTGGGAGCCTCTGCCCTTGTTCCTTCTCCCTCTGGGTGGAGAAGGCTGACAGGGATGCCAACCGGGTGGCTGTTTGTAGAGTAGGGCTTGGGTGGGGGGAGTCTTAATACACATTTCTGTGTTGTGGTGGGAAAAACTTGGGCGGGAAACAGGTGGCCCTGCAGAGGCCCATCTGGGGGATGTGGCAGGACAGTCTTGGTGGGATCACACCGAATCAGCGTGATACCACTTTTGTTCCTGTGCTGTAGACTTGCAGTGTTGAAACCCTGGAGCACAAGTGGTTTGGGATGATGATTTTGAGTTCAGTACACAGGCTTTACTGTGTGATGCTGTTTTACTGCAAGTGGTACAGCAGCATGTGTATGATGGGGTACTTATCATAGAATGCTTAGGGTTGGAAGGGACCTCTAGAGATCATCTAGTCCAACCCCCCTGCACACGCAGGGTCACCTAGAGCACGTGGCACAGGACTGCGTCCAAGCAGGTTTTGAAGATCTCCAGAGAAGGAGACTCCACAACCTCTCTGGGCAGCCTGTTCCAGTGCTCTGTCACCCTCACTGTTAAGAAATTTTTCCTTAAGTTCATGTG